CCCGGGGCGGCGCGGCCGCGGGAGCGAGGGAGCAGGGAGGGAAGGAGGCGGCGCCGGGGACCGGGGAAAGCTCCCGGGCGGAGGGAAGAAGGAGGGTGCAGGGGAAGACAGGGCGGGGGGAAGAGACGGGGAGACCGGGGAGAGGGCACCTCCCACAACCCGAGCCCCGGGAGCCGCCCCGGATCCCGGCCCCGCCCTGGACCGCCCACAGCGCCAGGGGGCGGGCAGCGGACAGGCTAGGGGCTGAGAAGTAGGAGGGAGGGAGACACCGGTGCACCCGACACACCGGCGGGGACAGAGCAGTGCCGAGGTTGCTGGGGGCAAGACAACTGGAAACTGGGGTGGGGGCGAGGGGACCCGAGCCAAAGGCAGGGGAGCCGGCGTTGAGGCATGGAGTCTGGAATGAAGGTAGAGAAAGACGGTTGCACAAAGACAGAGCAGCCCTGGATGCGGGTGAGAGGAGGGAGGCCAAGGCCAAGGGCTAGGAGGGGAACTGAGACCGGGGGAGAGAGAGGAGAAGCCAGGGTCAGAGGGGACGGGGGGCTGGGGGGTGAGAGCGGCTCCGGGTCCAGCAGCCATGCTCCTCGCCCGCTCCGTGCAAGGAACGTGCAGAGCGGACTGGAAGCAAAAGACGGGGAAGGGGAATCGAGGAGAGAAATTGAGGTAGGAGGAAAAGAAGAAAAAAAGGGCAAGAGAAAAAAAGGAATCTCCACGTGGACATGAGCCAGTATTGTCTTCTATACTCCAAAAGGGCCGAGCAAGCAGTATTGATTGAGGGCGAACTGGAAGCTTTAATGGCAGTGGGAAGTGCAGGCCATTTGACAGCTCCGGAGGCTCCTGGCTATCTGGAAGTGAGGGTGTGTATATTGTTGCTGTGGTTGTTCACATGCCTGAGTTTGGGCTGGAATTGAAGTCAAGGGGATCCTTCTGAAGAAAAAACAAAAAACTCCTTTCTGGCCTGTCCTGAAATAAAAGGTGAGAAAAAGCCAAATACTGCGAGACTGACTAGAACTGAGGTTCTCAATCTTCAGCCCTTTTTTATAATAAATATTTTGTAATGACCGCTTTAGTAACCTGAATTGAAATTCATAGGTGATATAACCTACCTACACGCATAACTTTTAGAAAAATCAAAATGCTGGGCCGGCCCGGTGGCGCACTGGATAGTGCGCCGCTTGGGAAGCGCGGCGGCGCTCCCGTCCGAGGGTTCGGATCCCACATACAGACCGGCTCCTGCTCACTGGCTGAGCGAGGCGCGGGAGCAACACCGAGGCTTGTGATCCCGTTGCCGGTCCCCGGTCCGGTACGGGGGCAACACTGAGGGTTGCGATCCGTTGCCGGACACGGAAAAAAGACAAAAAAAGACAAAAAAAAAGAAAAAAAAAAAATCAAAATGCTTCACTGTAATATAAATGGGAATTTTTTAAAAAGTAATTTGTAATAAAATAACATAAACAGTATTTTATTGTGTGGCTGGCTAGGCCTGACTACACTAGAAGTCGTAACGAAGTAGGCAGATACTTGCACCTGTCCATAGAATCCTGGGGCTGGAACTGCAACAAACACAGGCTGATACAGGTGCCGAGTTGGTGACTCAGCTACCTCCAGCATGTTGCCATCAATGAAGTGATTTAGTGAAATGTTGAACAACTCTTAGCAGCAAAGTCAATCTCTCCTAAATTTACACAGAACTGTAATTGCATTCCTAGAAAGTTCATTGTATATTAAAACCATTTTTTAAAAAAATTGTGTTAAGTTCTAGGCTCAGATAATTAAATACAGGTTTTCACCTACATGAATGTCCTAGGGGACTTTTGAGAATCTGGATGAGGGACAATTCTTCATTGTGTAGGCTGTGCTTTAAAGAATATTTTATACCACTGCCCTGCCATAAATGTAAATAGTGCCCCCCCCATTATAATTGCAACAAGAAAACCCACAAATTTTCAAAATGTTCCCTAGGGAGTGATTAAGAGTCACTGAGCTAGGAAACTAGCAGAAGAAAGGGAGAAAAGAGAGTGGGGCAGGATTTCTAACTACTCAAAATGACAACTACCCCTCTCTGAGTGTCCTGTCCTCTCAGCAGGGCAGAACCAAAAATTGGGTATCAACTAAAATAAAGTCAGTAACACTAGGAAGCATCATGAAGATGAGAAGTTTCCGGGACTGCTTGGAGAGGAAGAGTTTCCTGACTCTGTGCCTAGTCTATAGGCTGGTCCAGCTGTCTGTCTGGTGGGACACCCTCTCTCAGTGCTCCTGTGAGTTCCTGGCAAGACTGTATGCTCAGAGGACACCCTTCCCAGACCTAGCAGGGCCCTACTGTAAGGACGTATCTGAGCAGGTTCATTCCAAAGAGTCTACAAACAAGTTCTCAAAATCCTTACCTGGGGCTGGCCCGTGGCTCACTTGGGAGAGTGTGGTGCTGATAACACCAAGACCACGGGTTCAGATCCCTATATAGGGATGGCCAGTTAGCGCACTTGGAAGAGCATGGTACTGACAACTCCAAGTCTAGGGTTAAGATCCCCTTGCCGGTCATCTTTTAAAAAAAAGATCTTTACCTAATCTTTTCTGGTAAATCTACCTAATCTTATCTCTGGCTTTCCTGAAGACCTGCCTGAAATAAGGGGTATGGAAGGAAAGGACACCCCTGGAAAAGAGAAATTTACGAAACTGAAAGTTATCTCAGTAGTATTTATTGCCACACCGCTGATGCTAAATCAGATAGAAAAACAACCTTACTGTCCAAGTCACAAAGTATTGATTCGGTAAATTGGAATGTATCAATCAAAGGAATAGTTACGAAAATACGTTTAAAAGAGGATCTAATGACATTGACGTGGGGAAATATGAGAATTTGAGGGAAAAAAGACGTGTATCACTGTTTATGTTTAAAAGCTGGAAGAAAATACATTAAAATGTTAACAGTGATTGCCTCTGGGCCATGAATTATTGTGTCACTTGTTTTGTCATATTGTTCAACTTCAGTTTAAATTTTAAACAAGTGTAAACCTCTATAAATCATTTTTTAGAGTTGTTCTTAAAACCTTCCTAAGCAAGTTGCATCAGTAGTGCTAACATCTGTTATTCATTCGGGCAGAGGCATTTAAGGGTATGGACAGGGGCTCCCATTATATTCACTATACAAACTGCTCACCTGTTACCACCAGTAGCTGCACCTTCCTCCTTTCACACCTTTCATCCTTCAGCATCACTTCCAGGATTCCTGGCCCTATTCCACAGGGCATTTATTGAGATCCTTCCACCACCACTGCTTGAGTATCCTAACTCCACCCTCCCCAAAGCCAATCCACTTCCTTATTTTCCTTCTACATCAAGCACAAAATTTCTCTCCTCTGGAAAGTTCCCTGGCCTTGATCCCATCCTTCTTCCCTCACTTCTGTACATTGTGCCCTTGACAACACCATCTCTTTCGCAGTTTTTGACTATTTTTCATGAAAATGGTGGAGTTCCTACTCAAATTACATAAGAATGACCATTTTTCTTGTTCATTTTACTTCCCATATTTTTCTTCCACTCTCTTTCCTCTCTTCTGCTTTATTTTCTTCCCACCCTTCAGAACATATAACCAAGAACTTAACACCCCGGAAGCTCTGAAAACATATTAACCAAAGTAGCTTAATGTATTGTTGATCATTTAGATGCTAGATGCATGTCTAATTTAATTCTCACACAACACGCAAAGTAAACTCTGATTTAGAGAGAATAAGAAGCAAATCAGAGGTCACCTTGCTATAAAATTGACAGAGCCAATATTTGAACCCAAGTCCATTAGCCCATTTCCAGATTCTCTCCACTACATTCAGAGGCTTAGTTTTCAGGAGCTCCACTCAGCCAGCTCCCACCCCAAGGCATTCTCTATCAAACATCGAGCTGCAGTTCCTTCTGTTTTCTCTCCTGAGGTTGTAGTGAAGGGAAGATATCTAGTCCCTGAGTTTACTAATTGTCCTGATTTTATCATCACTTATTGTACACAGGCATGATATTCAAATCTGTATCCCACACATATGTATCATCAATTATGTT